TCCTGAAGGAATCTTCAAAAAGCATAGCTCCACTCATGTTCTCTCCACCCATTCAAAAATCTTCAACAGCTCCTCATTGCACACTCAATTAAGTACAAGCCTTGCCCAGTAAGCATGGCCCACTATGACCCAGCATCACCAGACCAAGACTTATTTTCCATTAACCATCAGCCAAGGCAGACTGTTCAGTTACCTCCTATCAGGTCCCGTGCATTCCTAACTGCATGACTTCTTCACAGTCTTCTTCCTAAAGCCTGTTCTCAAAAGGGAGCTTTCCCTCTCATCACTTCCACAATACTTTATTTGCATCTCTTTTGTGGAAGGCATATGTGTAGACATGGTTTTATATGTCCTACAGAGTGTTACTTGAGGAGTTACTACAGTTTGATGCCAGTATTGTTGCTACGAAGCCCTCATATAGGCTTATTAGATGCATTAATATAGGACCTTTTCAATGAGATGCCAAGTAGGGCACTCTGAAAACTGTATGCTTTAAAACGTTTAAAATAATTAAAAGAAACTGCTCTAGAAGTTAAGAGAAGCTTGACTCAGGGACAAGCACTGGTGCTGAATTGATCACACCCTAACAACAGTCCCTGAACACACTCAGTCATGTGGCAAAAAGTAAGATTCAGCTACATAGGAAGAAATTGGCCTATGACACACTTTAATCACTATAAATTCTCCTTTTAAAAAAGAACACTATAATAATCAAGCATAGTCCCTTCACAGCTTTGGTCCCAACCCCTGGGCCCTGGACCAGTACTGCTGCTACACAGCAGGAGGTGAGTGAGCCAAGCTTCACCTGTATTTACAGCCACTCCCCATCACTCGCATCACCGCCTGAGCTCCGCTGCCACATCCCTCCCACCCCCCAAACCCTGCCCCTGTCTGTGGAAAATTTGTCTTCCATGAAAGCGGTCCCTGGTGCCAAAAAGGTTGGGGACTGTGGCTGCTCAGGACTACTATTGCTTTCATGTAGTGTGGCACTGTGTTTGGGACTAAAACGAATGGAATGTCACAGCACAGAAAGAGAATATTTACAGTTCTTTGGCCCCCAGATTTTAACCTGTGAATGTGCTGGCTTTATGCAAGATAGTCTTTTAGGTAAATAGTGAAAGTCTACTTAAGTATCAGCTTAGGGGATGTGCTGATGGCATCGTACTTGGCAACTGGATTGTTGTGGAGACAAAAGCTGAAAAACCAGTGATCATCACTGTTTTCTATCCGTGTAAGAATAAATGTACACTTATTCTTGATGACCTTAACAGTTAAAAATAAAATACCCCCATTACTATTGCTTCTTCTGAACTTTTTTTTTTAGAAACAAAACAAAGTTTTTATTATTTACGTATAATAGTCCTTCTTACTTAATTATCATTTATTTTTCAGTTCCTTTACACTTGCCTCTTGAGAATAGCTGTTCTTAACAGTGAGATACAACTAACTACCAATTAACAGATGTTACCCCTTAACTGATCCCCCTCAACTTTCTCTCTCAATTTCAGTCATTTTTTTTCTGTAAATTTGAACTACCTTTTCTCCATTACTGATTCCATTTTTAACCTCTGATGAGTCTGCAGGAGCCACTAGGGCTAATATTTTTCACTTCACCTGTATAAGGACCATAATACAAGGTGTGCTTTCTTTTTGAATGCCAGCTCCAACACAAATATCTGTATGGTTTACAGTGGCCACATAGGATACTTTTTTTTTTTTTACTCTGTGGCTATGCGTTTACAGCAGAGATATATCTGTTTCATATCATTATTTTTTTCTCATGAAATATACAAGTTCTAGTTCATGAGACAAGCACTGGCTAAAATTTGCTACTCTTAACAACATTGAACAAATATTTGTTGATGATCTACTATATACTAAGCACTGTTGTAGAGATTCGGCAGTTATAAAACCAATAAAAAATCTTGTCTTCATGAATCTTCTAGGTAGTAAGAAACAAAAATAATTATAGTTTATATAATAGTTTGGATGGTGATAGGTTCTCTAGGAAAAAAGTGGGATAGGGAGCAGGAAAGGCCTAGAGGGTGCTTGCAATTTTTAAAAGGGTGTCCAGAAAAGCTCTCATCATGAAGGTAGTGACATTTGAGTAAAGACATTGTGGCAATGAGGGGCAAGCCATGTGGATGTCTGTGGCAAGAACCTTTCAGGCAGAGGAAACACCTAGTGCAAAGGTGCACGTAGGCTCTCACAAGCAGTGAGGATTTTAATTCAAGCATCTGCCAGGGACAAAAATTCAGGCAAGGCTTTTTTTGTTGTTGCTATTAGGAATCCACCTACAAGAGAGTTTAATCAGCTTAAGATGAACATCAGTGCAGATCTGTTTAGTGTTCTCTCCCAGCCGTGACCTCATTGCTAATACTGACAGCTGGGACTGCTTCTTAGGTTTGGATGGGCCTTGGATGCTCAGCCTGGCAAACCCAGATGGAAATAGAAGAGGAAGGTTTTGGTAGCTCTGTCAGCCCAACGGTTCTTTATCTTGTTTTCTCTCCACATGGGGCAGCATATTAATCATATGAAGCCAGTGAATCCAAATTGAATTTAACCTAAAATATAGTCTGTTACCATATTTGGACTAAAAAGTAAGTATAATAGAATTATACCTCAGATTAACTAATGGTGGATTCTTATCCCACAGATAGCCAAGACATGGATAGGGCTACTGAAGAGAAAGATCTTTCCCATGCCACAAAATCATGCTTTCAATTTCATCTTCTTTCAGTTAATGGTAAAGAAGTCATTACTAACATTAAGCCTTAAATAGGATTTTCAGAAATTGTTACACTTATATTCAACTAATAGGGAAAATCTGCATAGGGCCTGTCTACGCCATAGCTAGCATGGTAACATAACAATGCTCTTCTAGCCCAGCAACCCACATCCACTTCTAGGGGATTTTCAGTTTACTGAGAACATTTTCCTAAAGCTTCTACATACCCTTGGAGTCTACTACCATCCTCAATAAGAATAAAATATTATCAAGAACTCAACAAATGAATATTTGAAAGCAGGCACTGAGTTTATATTAGTCACCTTTGATTTGATTGAAGGCTAGATTCCTTAAATAATAAACAGAAGATTAGTTATTTTATAAAAATAAAAGTTTAAGAGACAACAAAGAGTTCTTTAGCAAAGAGAAGGTGATTGAACTTCCAAATAGGTCATGATGACTTACTAGTAACTGAAAATAGTATTTTAAGATCATACTAATTCTCTGTGAGGTCATTTAGATTTGCTCTAGCTGTCTAATTTAAGTTTGCTGTGGTAGATTTGAACAAACACAGAAAACCCTTAAAATATGGCTAGATATGTTGTTTTAGATCCAAATTAAGTATTGATCATTGTGACTGTGGCTTAGTATAAATTTAGAATTATTGTAATCTAATGTGTTGAGGTTGTTCCATACTTATATTATATTAGGAATGGCCAGAGATGACACTTGTATAATGAAGTGACCTATCTATAATCAAATCAACAACTTAGAAATTTATCAGCATTAAAAAAAACTTTATACATTTTCAATCTGTCAACTTTTTTGTTCTTGCTATTCTGCAGAAGTTGCCAGAAAGAAGCCATTTACCATTCTTTTTACATACAAATGCAATTTCATAATTAATGAGAATCATTCATTTTTAGATGGAAAAAATAACATGTCAATTATATCAAATTTGAAAAAGTTTTTACCCTATTTATGATTAAAATATATGTTATTCTGAAAAGCAAAAAAAAAATATAGTGGGCTTTCTTCACCTGTAAAATTTCTTTTGAATTAATGGGAACTTATCTCACAGATGAGATTTGTGGACTATTGTAAATACATACTCTACTGATCACATACTCCACAGCTTTAAGCTGTGAAGCACCAGAGCAGAGGCCTTGCTCAGACTTTCGAGCCAGTCTGTCTGGGTTAGATTCTTGGCTCCCCACATACTAGCTGAGTGATGTCAGGCAAGACAGTTAGCTTCTTTGTGCCTCAGCTGAGAACACAGTGGGGATGATAGCAGTATCTACCTTGTGGATTATATGAGGACTGAATGAATTAATACATACAATGTCTTTAGAAGAATAGCTGGAGCATGGTGAATATTCAGTTCATGTTAGCTATTATTCTAATATGTGATAAAGTAGGAACTATCACTAGTCTCAGTGGGTTTAAGTGGTGGATGCAATTTTTGTATTTTTATTGAGTTTCATCAGTTTTTTTTACAGAGCCTAAACATGCTTTCTGGTATGAACACACAAGAAAGCAGAGAAGGATGGCTCCTCTAAGTGAAACTGACCCCTGCATGTAGTGCCTGAAATCAGAGAAAGCTTGTCAGCATGGACAGACACCAGGAGTAGACCAATCTGACATCCATCCCACTTCTTTTTTTAACCTCATAGAAATTAATGGACGATGTCTGATGACGATTCTTAAATTAGTTGTTCCTGCTTAAGGTTTAAAACCTTGGTTTACTATGGGGATAAATTTAGGTTTTTGATAGCCATCCGAAATCTTTGTACCTCCTCAGTTTCACTGTAGAATAAAAAACAAATTTACCACAGTGGATCGTTACATCCGGTATTTATTCCTCTGAAAAGGTCGTCTGCTTTGGGAGAGGCAATGGCTGTGTCCTCCACTAATATATCTAACTGATGGGGCAATGACGTAAAATTCCTTCTTGACCCCTGCTATTCAGAGTTACTGTCTTGGAACACAGCATTTGATTATCTCTTTTCACACATAACTACAAATGTTAGGGTAGGCTGTAAAAGTATGGGTCCTTTGTTCAATCTAGCTTCCAGGCTTTGCTTCTGATCACCTGAAGTTCATTTGATTAATAAAGCTAGTCACGAAAACTCAAGACTGCTAAAATGAGAGGGGAAGGGATTCAGTCTTCTGGTTCTAACTCTAAAACATCCCACCGGATGCAAGCGTGCTTGCAAAAAGTTTGCCTCAAGTGTCCTCTGTCTCAAGTTGCACTGACGGCCCAGGAGGGTGGAGCCCTTACAACCTGCTTACTGGGGCGTGTGCGTGTCTGTGGGTGTTGGGGCACGCGCAGGACACACAGGGACCCACTTTCGTAGTCTCGCTCTCACCTCAAAGGCTGTCAACTCTTACGCCCCTCCCTGCGCGCACAGCCCCCTTTTCACCCCAGCCTCCTCATGCCCCGCCCCCAAAGTAGGAGGTACCACTGTCGTTGGAGGATCCTCCTCTCACTCCTGTTCGAGAACCAATCACTAGAGTTCTGGTGGAGAGCGGCGGAGCCAATGGATATGCTCGTTTTGGCAGCTGCCGGGTCTGGAGCGCCGGGAGGCGGTGCCGGGGGCGGGGTGCAGTCGGGGGATTAGTTGCCATTCCGAGTGAGGAGTGGGTAGAAGCGGCGGCGGCGGCGGCGTTTGCGGTGGCGCGGATCCCGCGGAGCTCCAGGCACCTCGAGGCCCTTTCCCCTCACCCCGGTCCCCAGAAGCAGGAGTCCCGGGCCTCCCTGCAGCTGCCGGGTTCTCCCGCGTGTGCAGCCCCGCGAGGGCTGAGGAGAAGGCTGCGATCGGCCCCCTGGGCTGCGTGATCCGGGCGGTTGCCCTGTCAGCGCGATGCCCGGGGCGGCGGCTGCGGCGGCGGCTCCGGGCTCCTAGCGGCCCCGGCTGTGACCGCCACGCCGAGCCCAGCCGGGCGGTTGGGGCCGTTGGACGTTTGTTTTCGCAGCCCTCCCCTCCCCCCTCGCCGAGGCGGCGGGGGTGTGCGTTGGGAAGGGGGAGCCCTGAGACTCCTCCCCCTCCCCGATACCCCCGCCCCTCCCCCTTACACACTCGCACGCACTATCGCGCCGGCTCCCACACGCTCGCGCCTCTCCGCCCCGCGCCTCCGTGTCGGCCGGCGTCGTCCAGGGCCCGCGGAGCGACCATGTCCACTGCCTCCTCCTCCTCCAGTTCCTCTCAGACCCCTCATCCCCCGCCGCAGAGGATGCGGCGCAGCGCCGCGGGCTCCCCGCCTGCCACCGCCGGGAGCGGGAACGGTGCGGGCGGCGGCGGCGTGGGCTGCGCCCCGGCTGCGGGAGCCGGCCGGCTGCTGCAGCCCATCCGCGCCACGGTGCCCTACCAGCTCCTGCGGGGCAGCCAGCACAGTCCCACGCGCCTGCCCGCCGCCGCCGCCGCCGCGGAGCCGGCCGGCTGCTGCAGCCCATCCGCGCCACGGTGCCCTACCAGCTCCTCCGCCGCCGCCGCCTCGCTGGGCAGCCTCCCGGGGCCCGGCGCGGCCCGCGGCCCCAGCCCGCCCAGCCCGACGCTGCCGTCGGCCGCAGCCCCGGCTGAACAGACGCCCCGGGCCAAGGGCCGCCCGAGACGGTCCCCTGAGAGTCACCGGAGGAGCAGCTCACCTGAGAGACGGAGCCCCGGCTCGCCCGTGTGCAGAGGTAGCGAGCCCAACCCTCCCGTCCTCCCGGGCTGCGTCTCCCCGACGGTGCCCTCCGTGGAAACTTCAGCCTCTCCGGGCTTCTCTTTGCTAGTGCATTATCGAAGGTGTGAAAGTGGCTCTGGGAATCTCAACCCCCTGCGGTCGCCGCGGGGCTTGGAGGAGCGAACTGAAAAAAAGCAACTTTTATTTGACCCTCATGCCGCCCCTCAGATTTTATCTTCCATCACTCGCCTGCTTCGAAAGGTTTTTCAGTTTTAAGAGCTGGCTAGCTCACTCGTGTGTTTGCTGTTTGTAGCCGGGGAAGGAGGAGCTGGGCGAAACACTTTAACACGCACACAAACTCTTCAGCAGCGGATAAGGTGGTGGTTGTAATCTCTACAGCCTTTTGTGCTTTCCTGCAAAGTTCCTAATGTGCCTGTAACTACCGGGATAATTTTTCTTTTCTTTTTTGAAGGGCTGGTGGCGTTAGTTATGATGTAAGGATATCTGCTGGATGTGTAGAGGGGACAGTTTTGAATGTGCAATTGAAGTGTGTACTCCCCCCCCCCAGTCTACCTCTCTATATAGTCATGCATCGGAGCACTACTGCACTAGAAACAGTTTATGCCCAACCCGAGATTTCCATGGTAAATTTCTAAAAACCTGTTTGTGGAATGTATTCATTTTTTAAAGTATACTTAACAGTTCAGCTGGGATGTTCAAGGATCTCAAGTTTCTTTTTTGTTAGGTGTCAAAGGTAAGGGTGATCTGGTGGATGCTTTGGGCTTCCCTTAATGTTTTCTGTTTTGGTTTTGTTTTGTTTATGTCTAGGGACACAGTGCATGATGTAGTTAAGTCCTGGGGGAGAAAAGGAAGATTAGCCAACACAGGGACTTAAAGCTCATAAGGAAGGGTGGAATAGCTAATACTATTAAATACCAGCCTAGAGCTACAGATGCTGCCGCCGCTGCTGCCGCCGCTGCTGCATTGTGGAGGGAACGATCATACTGAGTGGAAAAATCTCTGCTTGGAAGGGAAACACTGTCAAGCTCTGTATAATGTTTATGTGGTATGTGGATTTTTTTTTTTTAATGGAGTTTTCTCAATGAAGGTGTTAGAGTTGGAGAAAGTGGTTGTCTGCATTAAGATTGCATTTTGGTGTTTTTATTTTAATATTTCAGACCTGTAATTAGCATGTTTGCCAAGGCACTTGTTTTCTGGCCACTTGATGGTGAACCAGTGTAGGATGTAGTGCAGCAGGATGAGTACATGGGCACTAAGAAATACATCCTGTAATCTGTATGCACTGGGAGGAATTTGCTCCCCCACTCCTCCCCCAGGTCAAGCCAGCTGCTGCAGAAACTGACATCCTCCGGCAAATCCTGAATGAATGAATGAAAACAACGTGATCGCCCTAATAATGACCACAACTGAACACACGTCTTTGGCTGTATTTTATAGAAAAGGCCACCATTTTCTAACAGATTAATGCCATATGCAACTCCCCTTTCTAGAGTTATATGACATGAAAGGTAACAGAATGAAAAAGAAAGCAGCAGTTCCATAAATTTTTGAGTGATTTAGCGTCAACAGTGCATAAATTGAGTTTTGGGATTTTCTTTTAGGGACTAATGTAAGAGGCATAAAATAAACATTGCACATTGTGTACAGAGGGTGTTGTGGGCACAGTAAGAGAAGTTCTGGCAATTGCTGCAACAATATAATGGCCATCTAGTACCTCCTCTGTTGATAAACACTAACACCTTACAACAGATAATAGTACAACTTGTTTTTCTGCATCATTCAAAAGCTTTAATTGCTTACGAATTACATGCTCCATCATCAAGTAGTTTTAATGAAATTTGTGATTAGGCTTAAACTCCCCTCTTTGTTGTAGTATGGCATATCCGAGTTTAATGCAATTTTAATGCAATCATGATGAAAACACTTTTCCTGAGTCTGGTTGTGCAGCAGACAGATTTGCAGCATCAGAGAGCTTGTGTTGGGAATGGAAGGGCTTTCTCTGCTAAAGATGTTTTTCTACTGTTTTTAACACCAGGTGGTTTTGTCAGTTTCTTACACAGAAGTGATTTTGAATGCAGACTCTTATTCTCCCAGTTCCCTGATTATATTGCCTCTATGTTACTTATCCACATCCCACCTTGTTCTCCCACCCAAATTAAAACTATACTACTGAGCTGTTCTGTTTACTCAGCCATTTAAAGTCTGTACTATGAACAGCTGATTTAATTTTTCAAATGATTTTTTTTCTCAGTTTCTTTTGAATTCTGCAAGGTTCTGACTTCAGTGGATTTTAGCCTCCACTGGTCAAGGCTCCTGCCGCTGCCACTGCTGCTGCAGACACTGACATCACTATACTGCATGAATGAAAAACAACAACGTGCTCCATTTCTTCTTTTGCTCTACACCTCCTTCCTTTTCTGCACACTTCAGTGGTGTGTGTGTGTGGGTGTGTGTGTATAAGATGGTGGTGTTATACTGCATTTTAAACTACATTTTAAAGTGTTAAGTAGATGGTGGCTCAAGGAATATGTATTTAGTATAGAGGCATATTGTTTACAAAAAGCTGCAAGTGCTATGGGCATTTGGACTAGAGGTGACATAACTGAGCATTCAGTATTTTATTTATTTTATCTGGTGTGATGGTTATGAAAGAAAATATGAAGCTTTTAAGTATTCTTTTGGTAATTCTTTAACCAAGAAGAAATTATGAAACAACATAATTTCTAAACGCATTATATCATCATCTCCCTCTTAAACATTCTTAGTATGCGTATTTGTAGGGTTAAGGCTATAGTAATAGAGAATCGATATTCATATTATTTCACAAGGCCGAAGAAAAACTGAATTCTGTAAATAGGAGCAATCAGTTTTAGTATTATTATGATATTAATTTATAAATTTAACAAAAAGAGATGGTAGTGTCCTTTATTTTTGTGGCATAGTTTTAGATGATTTAAACAGCTACTGTAATAGAAGATGCATAAATCTCCAAACACCTTGCTCTATATAGGGGACATGAAGTTTTATAAATTGAAACTTTTGTTTATGCTCATGGATCATCCTCATTTTGTTTGTATTTTTTTCTTTTGTATTTTTAAAATTTCAAGGTTTGTTATTTATATTCATTTCTGTACTTCTGCCATTAGCAAAATGTCACCCTCCCCCTTGTTTGGTTCTGAAGGGTCTTGAAGTGGTGAATGACAAGCTGCTGAATGCATCCTCAGGCTCCCTGTGATGTGTTTGTAATAGATGTAAAATCATAAAGTATTATGCAAATAGTTATTTTTTTGTAATGGTAATATATAAAGTCTACCTTTGAGATAAAGAGAACAACTCAAATGAGAATATAGCAGGATGTTAGTGTTGAAATTAATGATCTTTAAGCCAAAATCATTAGTAACAACCAAAAGAAAATATAATAAAGTTGCTTCTTTCTGAAACCTCATAAAGCAAAACCCCTGGATTTAAACACAGAACAAATACTCAAGATTTTACTGTGCAAGATAGTAAGTAGCAAATGTAAATCCTCTTGTAGTTTTGTTTTGTTTTCATAAAGATTGGGTATTAGGGTGAATTACAAGTTCTAAAGATGTAAAAAGAGTTGCATTTAGAGTACTCTGGAAGGAGAATATTGCTTGTTTTTAAGTGTATTACATTCAGTAAGGAAAACATGGAAAAGCTTGTAATTTATATAGCCCCTGCTATGAAAAATAGCATGTGTTGGTTCCTGATTTAACATATCCGATTTATTTAGGCCTAATACTCTAACAGATTGCTAACTGTAGAGTGAAATTTGATTAGACTTTTTCATGAGCATCTTGAGAGCCTCATTGTTTTATACATAAAGAAGTTATGATTCTATTTTAAAAGATAATACAAAGCAAGCCAGCATATAATGTTGAATCACTGCTTGCAATATATTGTGTCTATGTGTTTTAATTGATTCATTTGCTTTCAGTTTTTTATCTTTTCATTAAATTTCTCCTTTTAAGTCATTTTTATCCTGTGCTCAGTTTGGGGAATGCAAAAAAATTTTAATAACTTTTTTCTCTTACTTTTTTAGAGATACTCAGATATTCCCTTTCTATAAAGTTTATTCTCAGGCTGATATTCTTGAAAATTAAGATCCTTCCCATTTTAAAATCAACTTTCTTAGAGTGCTTATAGGAACTTGTTTCAAAGCTTTTCTATACTGGAGTGAAAATACATTGAAGTTTTAGCTTTTTCTGAAGTGACAGGTTTCAAATACTGATTTTTGGGAAAGATTTTCAGCTTCTGAGAACTGCACTAAATACCAACAATGTTTATTTATGGACCTAATTTTTCCCCATCAATTATCTTAAGGTGCTGAAAATTTCTAGATCAATGAGTGAATAGCAAAATAGATAAATGAATTAATAGTTATTTAATCATTATACTGTCTTATGTTCAGAGATTATATTCCTCTCAGATAACTATTACTCTAAGCATATTGAATATTAAATACCTAAGATGAATAAAAGCACTTTAGTTATTTTTAATTGTATGTAAAGTTTTATGTGTATATATTGAATTGAAAATCATTTTATTAATTACAGAACTTTACAGAGGGACATTTTATTCACTGTAGTGTACAATTTCTACAAGGACTTAATGCAAATTAGGGTTTGTACATTGGGGAAATGTTGAAAGATAATAACATCCTTGTGGTTTTTATTTTTTTGTGAAAATGCGGACTACATGTGAATAAGAAAATGAAGGAGTAACTGGGCTCCATGGCTGTGAATAAAATAGAAATAAATGATAATGTTCTACAAATGGTTCCTACTAGGAGAGGGTTTTCCTTAAGTTTGAAATTTAAAACATTTCTAAAAACTGTGTTATCAAACCTGCAAATGTAGCTAATAATCTGCCAAGGAGTATATACTAATGACTTTGTTATTCTTAATTTTAGTTTGGTCTTTTCTATGGAGCTTAAAATTCCCAGGTACTACCAGGATAGCCTTTTCTGCAGCT